CATAAGCACTTGCTTATGATAAAATTCCCCACAACACAAACACAGAAGCTGCTCACATTACCTTCTTCAACTGCTGAGGTCCCTTCTGTTCAGGAAAAGAAGCACAATTTTGACATTAATTATCAGAGGAAAAAAAGCTCCTGGAATACAGAACTAAATTATCACAGAAGCCGCTTTTTAAATCCACATTGTTGCCCAGTCCAGCAGAATTCTTATCTCACAACTTGGTTCCCAGTGTTTTCTAAAGCCAAGGAAGCTCAGCACCATTCCTGCCCCTTCAGAAATCTGGTTTAAGGACCCTCCTTCTGCCAGGCAAAGAGCTTCCCCAGTTCATGCTGATCAACAGACTTTTTCAGCCAAGAGTCCTTTTGATTCTGTCCCAATTACCCCCAGGAATCTGAAAGTTTGAGGAATACAGCTAAGGGGAGGCTCTGGGAAGTGAGTGTTTCCTAAGGGGGATAAAATGAGGTGATTTGTTGAACAAAAAAACATACATTTGCCTTTAAAAAAGCTTCTCCTTTAACTACTTCTTTGTGCAGTTCTAGCTAGCCTGCTTCTCTTATCCTTTGAGGATAAAGCTTCAGGCTAAATTAAATATCCACTGAATTACCCCATGAAAATGTGCAGATTTTCATGCAAAGAGCCTGAACTTTGGCCCTTTGCTGAAGGGCCTGGGAGCTCTGTCTGCTGGAAAACCCCATCGTGCTCTGAAGGAAGTCAAAGAGCCCAGCCCAGGCTTCCAAGAAAATGTGAAAAATGCAAAGGGAAGGAAAATTTTCCATTTTAGAGAGAGCTGGAAGGGAACTGGCTCCCTTCTGAGCCTTGTAGCTCCTTGGGAGCTGTTTCTCTGCTGTAGCTTCACCTCACTTGACAGCACTGAAGTGCCCACCCCCTCCCCCCCTTTTCTGCTAATAAATAAAACCCTTACAAACATCTTACCAAGATTTAATGTACATTTATTCTTAACACGTGGAACATATAGTATAAAGATTTCATACTGAATAAATGATATTCATTAAGCCAAAAAAGGAAAAAAAGGGAGGAATTTACATCAAGTTTTTTTAGCTACATCGTCTGAAATACAAATATGCAGAATTCATCACTGAAAAAATCTCAATTGTGTTTCTTCATCAGGAACTTCAACTGAACCTAGAACTTTTTCACACCTCGATTAGAAAGAAAAACAAAATAAACAAAAAAAAAACAAACCCAAAAAAAAATAAAACCCAGGAAAAAAAAAAACAAAACCAAAACTATAAGTTGATTGGCTGCTGAGACAGCAATGACTTTATACACAGAGACCTGTACAGCATCATCCTCCAGGGAGGGATGTCTGGCAAGAGATTAAATAATTGTGTCTCGCTTTTGCAGGTCATCAACTCGTGAACTGTTCATACTAGAAAGGGGCAGGGGAGAGGGGGACAAAACTGCAAAGGAAATCTCAGGGTATGTGCAATGTACAACGTCATATATATATACACACGTGGCAGCTCCTCAGGCTGCAGCTAAAGGTTAAAACCAGTTCTAAGAGGTGATCTCAGGGTTATTTCATACAATCAAAGGAGGAAGAGAGAAAGAGGTCAGGGTGTTGTAGGTTCACACATGATACTTTGGGGGAAAAGCCTTTTTTTTTTTTCTTTCCATTTTTTTCTTTTTTTTTCTCCTCAACATTAACTAAAAACATTTTTAAAAACTACAGCTTGCTGCTGATCCAGCTTGTTTTTTTTTTCTTCTTCTTTTTTTTTTTCCTCTTTTTTTTTTGTATTTTTTTTTTTCTTTTTTTCTCCTTCCAGGTGAGACATTATTACAGCATCTTTACAGGTTGAAGGTGTACAGTACATCAAAGTTTCTACACCCTACTGCACAGGCCTCCCCTTGGACAAGGTCTGTTCACCAAACTGGTCACTTCTTGGTTCCTGCAAGATTGTGAATGTACAATAAAACCACACTGAGTTTTTTTTCAGCAGTCACTTCTTTTTTTTTGTGTGTGTGTGTGTGTGTGTCCTTCAGAGGTTGTTTTTGTTTATGTTTTTGTGGGTTTTTTTTTAATATACCATTAAAAACAGTTAGGAAAATGGTGCCTGTCAATGTGATAAACACGGCAAGTCGTTTTGTTTGTGTTTTTTGTTTTGTTTTTTCCCCAAACTCACTGTAAACGACAGTAACTTTGGTTAAAATAAAAAAAGTCTTCTATGTAGACAGAACTTTGTCTCCTTTAATAAGGGATTCAGGACAAATTTTGAAGGGGGAAAAGGGAAGGGGGGAGGGAAGGGAGAGGGAACAGGGACATCTTTCCCCGAGGGAGAAGCAGGACAGCGCAGGGCAGACAGTGGATTCTGAGGTGGTTTTGCATAAATAAAGGGCAAACAGTCAGTTTTTCTAAGTTCTCCACTCACGCACACGCACACGGGGGCTGGGATCCCACAGCTGTCATGACTGGCCAATTAAAAACAGTACGTCACAAATGACTTGTGAAACCAAGGAGTTCATCAAAGGCGACACCGAGATGTCCAACAGCCGCGACTCGTACAAGGTGAACTCCGAGTGGTTCTCGTCCACCTTGGCCAGGGCCAGCAGGGCCCGAGCAGCTCGCCGCATCATGTCCACGCTCGTCGACTCAAAGGGTGGGTTCTGCATGTGCATCAAGCCAGCCTGGCTCTGCTGGAACTGCGTGGCTGCCAGGCTGTCCTCCAAGAAGCCCAGCAAGTTGCCAATGCTGCCCTTCTGCACAGCGATGGCTCTCGCTGCCAGGCTGTCCCCCTGTGCCAAGTTGGCCAGTAGTACCACAGCCATCTCTCGACACACCGGGTTCTTTCTGTCACTGAGGAACCTCACCATGGTGCTGTACAGCTTCTCCAAGCGACTGAAGGGGGGAGTTGCAAGGATCAAATCCACGTTGTTGTCCTGGATGCTGAGTTTGCTGAGTGTTTCCAAAACCAGTCTCTGAGGGGAGAGGACCGCGCTGGGCCCCAGTGTTGGGAAGGGATCCTGGGCCTCTGCAGATGGACACACTGCCCAGTGGAGGAGTCCATCCAGGATAGGCAAACAGATGCTTTCTGGGTAAGGGGAGAGGTCCAGCTGGCCAGAAATGTTGGCCAACGTGACCAGTGTATTTTCACGCAGCATCTCCAAGCAGTCCCACCACCATTCCACCTTGTTGCAGCTCACCCCTTGGTCCTGCTCCTCCTCTTTCTCGTAGGTCAGGGGTGCCTGTTTGCGTTCTGGATGCTTGTGGTGTAAGAGAATCAGTTTCCCTAGGATCAGCAGCAGCCCGGGATGTTTGGACATCTCAAAGTCATTGCCTGGCACAAACGATAAACTCCTGATGATGTTGGAGACACAGATGCAGCGCTTGGCCAGAGAGTCCTGCCAGTCCAGGAGAGTGCAGAGGGGTGTCTCATCTTTACTGTGAGGTTCATCCTCCAGAATTTTGATATTCCTGTGGCTCTGAGCTGGACTAATGCCAAAGGGAAACTTGCTGCTTTCCTTTGCTGTTTCCAAAGGTTTAACCTCTTCCTCCTCCCCCGCCAGGGAGCCGGGACGCGCCGACAGCATGTCATCCATGGTGGCAGTTATCCTCTTCTCCGAGGAGCTGTCAGCTGGAGGAGCCTCTCCTTCCCTAGTGCTGGGATTGCTCTCAGCTGCTGAACGTTTCCTCAAGGCAGAGCTGCAGGAGGCTCGTTTATGAGGCGCCGGCAGCTCCGTCTTGCTCTCGAAGTGGGTCTGGATGTGCTCCGTGGTGTCGCCGCCGCCGATCCGCCAGTGCAGCAGCCCGCTCTCGAACTCCTGCACTCGCCCCAGCTTGTCTGAATAATCCACCACAAAGGGGTCGTTTTTCTGCACCACCTTGACTGGCAGCTTGTCAAATTTGCTCGTTAGTTTTTCCTCGCTGCTCTCTAGAGGTGCTTTATCCTTGCTGGAAAACGCGGCCTCCTCTTCTTCCTCATCCTCTTCTTCCTCCTCGCAGTTCAGGCTCCGCGGTTCATCATCCTCCTCCCCTTCTTCAGGAGAGGAAGCTGAAGACTTGCAGAACCTTTCAGGATCTAATAGTGTTCTTTGACCTGGGTCTCCCACCTCATATTCCTTCAGGATTCCAAAGATCTCGATCAGGCAGCGCCGGAAATACTCCACCAAGAGCTCCAGCAGGCCTGGCAGCTGCAAGGGGGGAGGAAAAACAGGAGGGGAAGGAAGGAAGGGAACAGTGATCAGAAAACAACTTAGGCCAACACAAGCAATAGGAAAAGCAGGGCATAAAGAGCTGAAGAATTTAAGCATTGATGTTAATTAATGGGTTCTTTTCATGCTGGCTTTAAACTGTTTGCAAGAGTTTTCCATCCTCTGAGCAGAGGAATCCAGGCAAAGCCAGACACTGATGGTTGGTATCCAAGCTGCCACCTTCCATCCATGCACACAGACCTGTGCAAACAACACAGGTGTGCTCTGGGTTGTACCTCCTCCCTGGCTGGGAGGGCAGCACAAAGCAGAACAGCCCTTGCAGTGCTGCTGAGCAGTTCTGACAGTGGCCACGGGGGCAAGTGGGAACTAACTGAGCAAGGCTGGCCCTCCAGGCTGGCATCCCAGCCTCACCACACACTGTCTCACCAGAGCCAGGGGTGGAGAAACACCATCAGCACCCAGAAACACGAGCAGCCTCCAGCCTCTCACAGCTCTCTCACTGCAAAGACCTCCCCACTCCTATTCCTCAGTGTAGAGGCAACACATCCATGCAGAAAGGAGGGAGAACACACCTGCATACCACACAAATTCCACATGCTGGAGATAACCAGCCCACAGCTACCCAGCCACTCTCTCTCCTCAGACCTGGCATGCTCTGCAGGCCCAGGGACATCCAGGACTCTGAGCCTGCAAGGTCATGAGCTGCTCGTTGCCACCTCACTGACAGAAAACCCTACTAAATTAGCACTTCAAAGACCTGCATAAGAGAGCATCTGCACCCACCTGGCTGAGGTTGAAGGTCATTATGCTGTTGTCATCATAGAGCAGGATGTTTATGGTATCTAAGGCCCACGTACTTTCAGCTAACAGCCCGGACTTCAGAGACATCATCACTCTCCAGGCTTCAGGAGTTCCTGTAACATAAACACATGATACTTCCAGCTCCTGGAGTTTAAAAATAAAAAGAAGATACCTGATCCTGCATTTTTGGACCCATGAAGAGCACAGCCTGTTTCAGATGATGTATAGACTGCAGGTACCAGTAATCCTTGCACAGACAGTGCAAAAATGATGTCTGAATCACAGAAGGGTTGGAAAAGACCTTCAAGATCATAAAGTCCAACTGTCAGCCCTGCACCCCTGTGACCACTAAACCATCTCCCTCAGCACCACGTCCACCTGTTTTTTTGAATGCCTCCAGGGACAGTTACTTCCCCAGCTCTCTGGAAAGCCTGTTCCAAGGCCTCACCACTCTTGCAGTGAAGAAATTTTTCCTAATATCCAGTCTGAACATCCCTGGTGCAATTTGACCCTATTTCCTCTTGCCCTGTATCTGGTCACTAGGGAGAAGAGGCCAACACCTGCCTCAGGACAACCTCCTTTCAGGGAGCTGTAGAGAGCAATTAGGTCTCCCCTCAGCCTCCTCTTCTCCAGGCTGAACCCAGCTCCCTCAGCCTCTCCACACAAGACCTGTTCTCCAGGCCCCTCCCTCATCAGCCTGGTTGCCCTTCTAACACAAGTTGTGAAAACACAACTAACCTCCACAACCAGAATTCCTTCCAGCAGGGCCCTGCCACTTGACATGACCCAAGGGCAGCACCCATCCCCTCCACAGGCCCAAGGAGAAAAGCAGGAGTTGCCTCTTACCAATATCTTTTGCCGTCAGCCGCCTCCTCTGCTTCAACACAGGTTGTGTGGCTTCTACTGATCCCGGGGGGAAGGTGATGTCCCGTCGGATCATGGGAGGCTGGACAGCTGCTGGTGTTATATGCGAGGCAGGGACAGGAGGTCCTGCCTTCTGCATTTTCATCCCCGAGTGCAGGAATGGAGATTTGCTTGGAGAAGTGCGATTCTCCAGAGGTCTGGGCAGAGGTGCTGGGCTGGATACCTGAGGAATGTGATTCTGCATGCTGGGGGGGGTCTGGTAATTAGACTGGGGGGGCCTCGTCATTGGGGGCACGGGGGCAGAGGGGCCGTAAGGAGGCTGCCTGTTCCCGTGGGAAGGCCATGGTCCCTCATGGTTGACCCTCTGGTCTGAATGCAGGATTTCATCCGTTCGCGTCACTCCGTGGTAGGCCGGTCCCTGCGGCGCGGAGCCGGCGCTGGGCCGGTTGGGGTAACTGTACCCCAGGTCATTGCGCCCCTGCCACATGGAGCCTTGCTGAGGACCCTCCGGAGCAGACTGGATGGGTCCACCCATCATCTGAGGAGGCATGTTCTGCTGAGCGTTGGAACCCGGGGGAGCTGAGACCCTGTCTCTGCCGAATTGGAAGGGGAACTGGTTCTGCGGCCCCGCGGGGGTGCGGCCGGCGGCGGGGTACGTGCTGCCGTACTGGTTGTACAGGTCCTGCTGGGGACAGGGCTGTGCAGCTTGCTGCTGGCTGGGCTGCTGGCTCTGTGCTGGGGGCAGCTGCTGCTGGCTCTGCCCCTGCCCTGTGCTGTAGGGCACGTTGTACATCTCGCCCTCGTGCCGCTTGGCGGGCGGCCCGTAGCTGCCGTCCATCGGCCGCTTGTAGTTCTGCAGGGGGGAAAGGAAGGCAGGCCCAGGGTTAGTTGCTGAGAAGCAAGGAACCCAAAAGCTCAAGAGCTGCTCAGAGCCTGAGGATATGCACCACAGTGTGGCCTGTATGGGAACCAGAGAGTCATAGAATCATGGGATGTCAGGTTGGAAGGGACCTCAATGATCGTCTGGTCCAACCTTGCCAGGCAATAACACGGTTTAATGAGGTGGCCTAACATCCTGTCCAGCTGAGACTTAAAACTGTCCAATGTGGGGGAATCCACCACTTCCCGTGGGAGACAATTCCAATATCTGACTCTTCTCTTTGGAGTCCAATAGGAATTACAGAATCCCAGACTGGTTTAGGTTGGAAGGGACCTTAAAGATCTTCCATTCCCTGCATGGGCAGGGACACCTCCCACCAGCCCAGGCTGCTCCAAGCCCCATCCAACCTGCCCTTCAACACTGCCAGGGATGGGGCAGCCACAGCTTCCCTGGGCAACCTGGGCCAGGGCCTTCCTACCCTCATGGTGAATAATTTTTCCAGGAATAACCTGTACCCATCACCCCCTCTCTTTTCCATGGGACTCCTGGTAAAAAGGTAGTCTCCATCCTCTTTGCAGCCACCCTTTATGGACTGGGACAGGGTGATAACATCTCCCCTGAGCCTTCTCTTCTCAAGGCTGAACCAATCCAGCTCTCTCAGCCTCTCCTCATCTGGCAGGTTCTCCAGTGCTCCGATCACCCTCCTGGCCCTTCCCTGGAGAGGGCAAGACTCATCTCATTGTCAGCCATATCCAACACCAAGTTGGATCAGCTTTTCAGTTTCCCAAGCCAAGAGCAATTCCTTGTGGCTGGCTGGCTGGTTTCCTTGTGGATTCTACAATGATGCCTTGGGGCAGAGGCCTGCCCACAGAAAGGACTTTCCTGGAGAAAAGACTCAGCTCTACTATACATGCACCACAAACCAAACTGTGCACAGGTCCTCGTTTCCCTTCACATCCAGGAATTTTATCAGACCCTTTTGCTCTTGTATTTCCCAGCAAACAGACGTTTCCTTTCCTATAGATTTCAAAACACAGCACTGAAAGGAGCAAGAACTCCCTCTCCTTCTTTTAAGTGTAAACGGAGAGAACAGTCAATTGCTGAGACAAAATCCAAGACTTCTCTTGCCTCCAAAGGTTTGGCTGTACAGTCTGCTCAGAAGCTCCACGGTCATGCCTGGCTTCAGATGGAGCTCTAGGCCTTCAGAGATGACAAGTCCCAGAGTAACTCGACCTCTTGGCTCACAGCCCCGTGGCTCTGGTTGCAGAGCCAAACTGCAGAGCAGTTGGAATTATTCTTAGCTCAGCTCAGTGAGTGCCCTCTCGATACTCTGCTAAACCAGAGGACTCAGAATTATCAGGAAAACATTATGGGTCTTGGCTCCAACCCAAAGAGCAAGCCATATATAAGGATTATGGCAAGTTCATTCAAAACTCTTGTCCTGAAACAAACCTGATGCTTTTGAGAAGAATGAGTAGGAGGCAGAGGAGGAGCAGGGACAGGTCTGAAGCCTTTGCCTGCAGGTTCAGTCAAAGACCCAAAACAACCCCTGAGTTGTGCAGGATGATACACCTCAAACAGCTCCCCAGAATGATCAAGGAATTACTCCAAACTCATCTGATCTCTTGGACCAAAAATGCTACAGAAACATGATGGGACTCAGAAAGTTCCAGAGGGGCAGAGAAGCCCAATAAAGCTTCCTGATCTCCTGCTGCCTGACCAGAGCACACACATCTGCAAATTACACAGCCTCTATTCTCAGAACATTGTTTTGCTGACACAACACTGGGAATGCTAAATAAAACATTTAAACTATTTGGTAACTTTAATTTCACACATTCATAAAGCAAACACACAGCTTAAAGAGATTTCATCTTCCTTTTTTCACAGATAAAACCCTGCAGTTCAACAAACCAGAAACTTTCTGGTAAGTTACCTGCTGTTGCTGTTGATACATGGTAGTTTGCTGGCTGGGGAAGGGGCTGCCCGAGGATGTGCCTTGAGTGGAGAATTGATTGCCATAGGAATCATGTCTGGAGAAGAAACAGATGTGTTACTTGTCTGATTATAGAATCCCAGGCTGGCTTGCATGGGGAGGGACCTTGAAGATCATCCAGTCCCAACCCCCTGCATGGGCAGGGACACCTCCCACCAGCCCAGGCTTCTCCAAGCCCCATCCAACCTGCCCTTCAACACTGCCAGGGATGGGGCAGCCACAGCTTCCCTGGGCAACCTGGGCCAGGCTCTCACCACCCTCACACCCAACAATTTCCTCCTCATGTCCAAGCTCCATCTCCCCTCTGCCAGTTTCAATCCATCCCCCCTTGTCCACTCCCTCCCTGCCCTTGTCCCAAGTCCCTCCCCAGATCAGATGCATGTTTCACTATCACATTCTCAGAGCTCTTAAACTGGGAAGAGCTGTTTGTGGCACGACCCTGCACAGACCTTTGCTGCTGCTGCTGCTGCTGCGGGTAGCGGCTGGGCGAGTACATCCCTGACTCCGGGGTGGAAGGCATGATGTTTGGCTGGGGAGTTCCCGTTGCTAAATTGCCCTCGGGTCCCATGCCAGGCTCCGTCCTGCATGGAAGAAAAGACAAAAACCCCCACATGTCCAATTAAATTCACCTTTGCTCCTGAAATCATAGGATCACATAGAATCTCAGAGTGGTCTGGGGCTGGAAGGGACCTTAAAGCTCATCCAGTCCCAACCCCCTGCATGGGCAGGGACACCTCCCACCAGCCCAGACTGCTCAAGGCCCATCCAACCTGCCCTTCAACACTGCCAGGGATGGGGCAGCCACAGCTTCCCTGGGCAACCTGGGCCAGGCTCTCACCACCCTCACACCCAAGAATTTCCTCCTCATGTCCAACCTCAATCTCCCTCTTCTAGTTTTAATCCATCCCCCTTCGTCCCATCACTACCTGCCCTTGTAAAAGATCCCTCCCCAGCTTTCCTGTAGGCCCCAGGAAATGGAAAAAAAATGATCAGAAAAGTCACAATAGTGAAAAGACAGCAATAATTTCACACGAGTTGAGCAGCCCAGGATCTCAGCAGGTTCAGGTACCCACCTCACTCTGTCGTAAGGACCTCCATAGGAGTAGTGCTGCCGCTGCCCCATGGCCATGTTACCCATCCCTGGACCTGTAGCACGATTGTAAGGGTCACCCATCCCAGTGTTGGGGCCCTGCCCTGAGGACATGAAGGGATCGCTTCCTGGAGCTGAAACATTGAAAGAAGGACCAATCAACACATCTGCCACGACAGCAGCAAGTTACTTCTGGGGAAGAAGGGTGAGCAGAAGGTCTCCTACAGCACATTCCAGTGCAGAGCCAGACACAGGGATTAGCACTGAAGGAGAAAAGGGAAAGGAGCATGCCAGGACTTCCTCACCTTTCCTCATACTGCTGTAAGGATCTTTATTTGGCTCGTAAGACATGCGACCCATCATGTCAGAGGTATTCATGCTGGGCTGGTACCCTGGATTTGGAGTCATGGAGTTCCTCTTCTGGAACGTAGGATCACTGCCATCTGCAAAGGCATCCTGAAGGCCCACTGAGTTACTCCTGATGGAAACAAAACCACCACCATAGAAACACAGAATTATAGAGGTCCACAATGCTCCTCAGGATACTTGTCTCCACGTGTTGTTATCCTCTAGAAGGATCTCAGTCATGCTCCTCCAACAGAGGCAAGACTGTCCTACCAACACTAACCCTAATCCCAAACTCATGGTTATTCCCATACAAAGGAGCAAAGCCATGGAATCCCACCAGAACAGCCACCTATGATAGAAACCCTCACAGCCATCCAGCACGGTGGAAGAGGGTACAGTGGTTCCATACCTGATGCCTGGCAAAGGGGGCATCTGACTGTGTGGTGTTGATGCTGGAGTTGGTGGCTTCAGGTCTCCTCCTTCTGCCATGGAGCTGCTGGTGGACTGAGGTGTCTGAGGACCCTGCATTGAGCCTGAACCCGCTGCAAGAACAGAAACGTGGTGTGAGCAGCTTTGCACCCTACAGCTGCAACCCCAAACCTCTCAGAACATCAAGCCTCAAGAAGACAGCAGAGAGTCCTTCAAAAAAGAGACACATGAAACACAAAAAAGCATGAGCAGCTCAAAACTGCAAGGACATACTGGGCCAGACTTCCCAGAAGAACTACAAACAGTAACATAAAGCTGAGAAGGTGTGTTTGTTTACATCCGACCTTCATTCTTAACCAGATCCCCTTCCACACACCACGCCACCACTGGGGAACTGTGTGGCCTTGCCCAGGCTATCTAGTTTCCAAGGCTGATGCTCTACAGTGCACCAAGCAACATGTTGCTTCTTCCCAAGTGACAATCGCCTTCACATCCTCTTTCTACCCAGAAAGAAGGTGGGTTAGAGCCCTTCCCTGGAAATCCCAGAGTCTTCTAGTGTTGGAAACTCCGAGACATCAGCTGAAGTCACCAAGTAACTCGGAACAAGGCTCCTCTGTCTGCTCTGCCCTTCGAGAGGGGTTAAGCCATGCAGGTTAATTCAAGCACCACTCCCAAGCATTCCTGGAACAGGGAATGCTGGAGATGCCGGATCTTTCACTGAACAAAACCCGTCCAGCAAGTTCCCTGGCTCTGCAGGGTGGCTTTGCTGTAGTTAAGACCTTTCATCACAACTCCCAGGCCATCATGTGTGATCCAGCTGTGCCACCAGCTCCAGAGCTCTCCTCTGCCCCTGCTCACTGTGCCAGGGCCAGCTCTCAGGTTCACCCGCTCCCCGCAGCTGGCAGGAGCTGAACTCTTAATTAATGTTTCCATTAGTTACCAGCCCCAGCACCCGATATCCCTCAGCTTCAGCCCTGCTGGTTGATGAGTCATTTCAGCTATTCATTAAAATCCTCCGAGGTCATGTCCAGGGCATGTTTGTTTACACCCCACCTTCCTGGCACCCTGTCCTCTCCTCCGTGACTCCCTCCCAGCCCGGGGAGGTCTCAGGAGAAGGAAGGGCAGAGTCAAGCTCAGCAGGGAGTTTCATTCATGGGCCCTCCCCACCGTTCCCCTTCCTTCAGCAGCAGCAGTTCAGCTCCACTGGCTTCCCCCAGGAATTCTCCCCTTTGTCAGGCTGGCATCGGCAGGAAGAGGCCTGGAGACGTTCCCTGCAGAACTACAAACAGTAACATAAAGCTGAGAAGGTGTGTTTGTTTACATCCGACCTTCATTCTTAACCAGATCCCCTTCCACACACCACGCCACCACTGGGGAACTGTGTGGCCTTGCCCAGGCTATCTAGTTTCCAAGGCTGATGCTCTACAGTGCACCAAGCAACATGTTGCTTCTTCCCAAGTGACAATCACCTTCACATCCTCTTTCTACCCAGAAAGAAGGTGGGTTAGAGCCCTTCCCTGGAAATCCCAGAGTCTTCTAGTGTTGGAAACTCCGAGACATCAGCTGAAGTCACCAAGTAACTCAGAACAAGGCTCCTCTGTCTGCTCTGCCCTTGAGAGGGGGGGTTAAGCCATGCAGGTTAATTCAAGCACCACTCCCAAGCATTCCTGGAACAGGGAATGCTGGAGATGCCGGATCTTTCACTGAACAAAACCCGTCCAGCAAGTTCCCTGGCTCTGCAGGGTGGCTTTGCTGTAGTTAAGACCTTTCATCACAACTCCCAGGCCATCATGTGTGATCCAGCTGTGCCACCAGCTCCAGAGCTCTCCTCTGCCCCTGCTCACTGTGCCAGGGCCAGCTCTCAGGTTCACCCGCTCCCCGCAGCTGGCAGGAGCTGAACTCTTAATTAATGTTTCCATTAGTTACCAGCCCCAGCACCCGATATCCCTCAGCTTCAGCCCTGCTGGTTGATGAGTCATTTCAGCTATTCATTAAAATCCTCCGAGGTCATGTCCAGGGCATGTTTGTTTACACCCCACCTTCCTGGCACCCTGTCCTCTCCTCCGTGACTCCCTCCCAGCCCGGGGAGGTCTCAGGAGAAGGAAGGGCAGAGTCAAGCTCAGCAGGGAGTTTCATTCATGGGCCCTCCCCACCGTTCCCCTTCCTTCAGCAGCAGCAGTTCAGCTCCACTGGCTTCCCCCAGGAATTCTCCCCTTTGTCAGGCTGGCATCGGCAGGAAGAGGCCTGGAGACATTCCCTGCGTCGCTGCCATTTGGTGTTTGTCCCCACACCTTCCCCCCCTCCACCATCCCTCCCTCCCACTCACAAATTTACACACAGTTGGAGCCAGGCCAGGTCCATGCTCTGGGAATTCAAGCCCTGCTGACGCCTCCTGGGGGACACCCAACACTTGGTGAGCAGGAACTCAAGGAGGTTTGCAGGAAACCCCTGCCCTGTGCCCACGGGGGCCAAGGCACTTCTGTCAACACTGTTGGTTTTTGAGGGTTCTGGACACACACTGCATGGAAAACAGCTCCAGCACCAACAGCTCTACCCAGATGATTGTCCTGCAAGGCCTCTCAGTGCTCTGCAGCCTCCAAAAGTGGTTAATGCACAATCCCACAGTGTGAGCCTCATCATTCACACAGTTACCACAGAACCACAGACCGGTTTGGGTTGGAAGGGACTTTAAAAAACATCTAGATCCAACCCCCCTTGCATGGGCAGGGACACCTCCCACTACACCAGGTTGCACAGAGCTGCACAAACCTGCAGAGTCTGGGACAGCAGCCCTGCAAACTCCTGCTGCTGAAGCAAGAGATCACCTGTAGCACAGAGGCACCTTCATGTACTGCCATGGTAGCTACAACCAAATCTAAATTGATGCACCATCCAATCTAATCCACTCTGACAGGCACCCAGTGCTACAAGAAGTTCTAAAGAGGCTTTCTTAAATTCTCAGCCCTCTCCAGATGAACTCCAAATGTTCTTAAGATCTTTGCTGCACTGCCGAGAATCTCAGGGGGGCATAAAAGAGGTTCTGGAAAGAAAAGTGGGGATGGATTTGTGGTCTAGTTGAAGAGGAACTCAGACACCACTTTAGACAAAAGTTCAGTCTAATGACACAAAAGTTGCTTTATCTTGCAGAACACACCAAGGTTGAAGCTACACAGGGAGGAGGTTTCCTGAACTAGTGAAAAGACATCATTTAGTTCTTTAAAAACCACCACTTTGCAACAGAGAGGGGAGATAAATGTAGTTGCCAAGAGACTATTTGGACAAGCCCACTGTCCATCAAGGGCTTAGCAGGGCTGGAGCAAAACTGCAATACAATCCAAAAAAGGTTCATTGTCCCAGCTCCTCAGGAGCCAGACAAGGAAGATATCAGGTTTCAGAACCAAAAAGCCTTTTTTTTTTCTTTACAAACATTACAGGAACTTCAAAGGAGGCAAAGTTTTTTCTTTCACATACACGAAAAGGCTCCTGATCAGAAAAAGCATCTGAAGGTTTAACTTCTAAGAAACTGGAAAACTGAAGCATCTAAAAAGTTGGCAAGTTCAGTAGCAATTCAAGCAACAAACTCCATGCAAATGAGACAGAAATGATCAGACTTTCCAAAGCCTGAAGAGTACAGCCTGCACTGCTGGCCTGGACCTTTTCTCCTTGTTTCTTTTTTCCCCTGAATTGAACACTATGTTTAAATATTCAGAAACTGGAGCAGCCCATCAAATTTGAAACAACAGCAGAAGTTCATTTTAAAGGACTTGAATTCTAGAGCATTCAACTTGTAATGGGCTTACAAAGCTCTCTGGGCACAAAGCCTCAGAAAGTCCTCACTGTCTTCTGCTGAAGACAAGAAGGAAGAGATTCATGAGGAAGAGAAGTGCACACCTACGTCAGGCATTACTCCCAGAAGGTCCCACTTGCATAGTCAAAATAGGCACAACTTTTCCAGCAAGATCCCAAAGCTGAGGAGAAACAAGGGCTGCTGGCAGAATATGCAGGGATCACCTTGAAGGGATAATGCCCATAAGCACAGAGGTGTAGGTATATATCTATGTTTTCATAGACTGGTTTGGGTTGGAAGGGAGCTTAAAGATCACCCAGTCCAACCCCCCTGCATGGGCAGGGACACCTCCCACCAGCCCAGGTTGCTCCAAGCCCCATCCAACCTGCCCTTCAACACTGCCAGGGATGGGGCAGCCACAGCTTCCCTCGGCAACCTGGGCCAGGCTCTCACCACCCTCACACCCAAGAATTTCCTCCTCATGTCCAACCTCAATCTCCCCCCTCCCAGTTTCAATCCATCCCCCCTTGTCCTCTCACTCCCTGCCCTTGTCCGCTCACTCCCTGCCCTTGTCCGAAGTCCTTCCTCAGCTTTCCTTTAAGACACACAAAAACTGAACTATCCCAAGAAGCTTCACTTATTCCCAGTATCATTCACTCCCACGTTACCAAAGAATTTACCTACACAACCAGAGAACATCTCATTAGAAACAGATAAGAGGGTTTGGTGAAGTTTGGAGTCAGTCTGGCCCACAGCAGGAGGAGCTGGGTGTACAGTGCCAGAGATCCTCCAGCTCAAACATTCATTGCACACCTCAAACCACTGTCTAAACTCACCTGGAGATGGAGGCTGGATCTTAGTCTGGGACTTCTTTGAATCAGCAGCTGCAAAGATATCTGGAGGGGGGTCTTCACCTCGCTCAATCTTGCACTCAAAGGCATAAAGACACTGGATGTACTGCTTCTTCAAAGAGCTGGCTGCACTGCTGGAGGTGCCCACATTGAGGTTTGTGGCTAGCTCGCGCCACTTCTTGTTTTTGTTGACCTGCACAACCAAACAAGAGGCTCTAAACTCAACATCCCAGCTACTTCTCCTCCAATAAATTGTCTGGGAAGAAATGGACACTTCTCAGCTAAAACAAAAAATGCAGGAAGGGCTAAGCAGAGCAGGCCCAGTGGTGTTCAAAAGCCAAAGCTCTCTTCCCCACCCAGAGAAGACTTTTCCAACGGGGACAGATGGCAAATCAAGTGAGCTGCAAGGTCAGTTGACAGCCAGATTCAAACACAAAAGACAGGGTCACCAACCTTTGCACCAGACAAAGCAGGGATAAAAAAGCACCTGAACTGAATGTCACCACAGACTGCTCTCAACCAGACAGCTGGCACACTTCAAGGATGCTGGGTTTTATTAATATTATACCTATTACTTATTTAAAAAAAAATAAAATCAAAACCAAACAACAGCTGAATGGAAAGTCAGGGCTACAAATCCTCACTTGACTTGGGACTGCCAGACAGCTCTGACCACAGACCACAAATCACCACCCAAGCTGCTGGGCACTCACCTGAGTCAATCCTCCAATCTCCTTCACTGAGATGTAGAGCCTGTAAAGGTCCAAGGGTTTCCTGCCCACTGCTGGGAGGTTTGTCATGCCCATGGCCTTCTCTTCAGTAAAGGCCAGGTAACGATCTACCCAGATCTTCCTCTCAGGCTCACCACCCAGCTCATAGAGTTTGGTGATCTTCTCATTGGTTGTAGTAGAGGAACTGGACTTCTAGGAGAAGGAAAGAGATATCAGGACTGAGCAGCACAAAAGCAGCTACCTCACATCTAAGACGGTTTCCAAAAAGCAGGCAGGTGAGAGGCCAAAGTTCTGTTGTTATATTAAGAACAGCTTCATGTTAGACCTACACTTGTCTCCAACCAATTTCAGGCAAGTACCAACCAACAAAGATGTCACAGAACCAGCCCCTCCTTGGGGAATTCAAGCAATATGTATTTTTTAAAGAGAAAGGTTTCAGGAATGCTACAGACTTCAAGAACCTGACACATCCTTTGTGGGCTTGTTTGCCAAATGTATGAGAAAACATCTTCCTTAACTGCAGGTGAGGTTCCCTGGGGCTCCTGCACCCTGCCAGGGTGAACAATGCCCTCTTGGCAGCCTCTTCTCTTGTCAAGTAGAAGAAGCCAGGTTCAACTGACACTAGAACACTGCAAATGAATCAAAATCCCTAAAAAAAGCCTGAAGATCAGAGGCACCTGTTTGATGAGTTTGTACCAGAGGTCCCCCCAAAAGACCCTCCCTCTTCCCTTGCCCATTTGCTGACAGAAGTGCAGAAATCTCCTGCCTCCCAGGAATGACCTGAGCTCCTACACTGGTTTGCTATGGTTGGCACATCAGGATTCACAAGACCCATATGGAAAAGTACTGAAGGAATCTGGAATACAAGTTTACAGTTATCACACTAATTTCCTACCCATCTGGTTAACTGCATTGTCCAAGTGTCTGGAAGTTAAACTGTGATCCTGCACCTTGCCCTGCTTCCCCCAGGTCCTTTAACATCTTGCATGAGCATGTTGGGGGTTTTTTAAGCCCTCTGCATCACATACACTTGGAGTAAAGGCAGAAATGGCCTTGGCATTCCAAATGCTTCCTTAAAAATGAGCTTCCAAAGTAAAAATGAACTTCAAATCTACTGATGTTCTACATGAATATGAATCCAGACTAAGTCCTATACCCAAGACTGAGATAATCCTTGAACAGGGCAGACCAGGAGGACAGAACAACCCTTATTTGTAGCTTCTGGCACCTCCCAGCCCAAGAGCATTCAAGTCCTTGTTTGTCTAGAATAGAAAGGCAGATGCCAGAAGATATGAGTGAGAGATCTTCTGAACCTTCTTGCAGACTGCTGGTGGTACAGGTACCAATCTCATAGAGCATTTCTTTTCCTTCAAGTAGCAGAAGAGGAGACTCCAGGCTAAGAAACTGCTTTTTTTGGTGGTTCTTTTGAAACCCGTAGCAGCAACGCAAAGAAAAACACTCCCTGAAGAACTTGTTTTGCCTCCCTCTTCTGGCTTGAACACAGGATTAGTAAGAGGTTTGTTTGTGAAACAACTGTAAGTCTTTACTGTACCACCTCCCAGAGGTGGAGAGGAGATAACTGACTAGCAGCTCCAAGCCTGCACCAGAAACAAGCTCAGGTTTCTTTACACATCTTTTTGGCAGTTTCACTGTGGCAGGTGATAATTCACATTTTGCAAGTGAAATCAATTGGTCTCAAAGGACTAGAAAATGCTCCTCTTCATTTCTGAACCATCTGTGAATCCCAGAAGCAAAACCCTCAATTGGTTAAATTTTCCTGATAAATCCTGAAGAACCTCCTGGAACAGTTCAAGGAGAGCCAGGGCTGGAGACATCAGTTTTAGTTGAGGTTGACTCTCCTTACACTGAGCACTTCAGCTGCAGGGTCTTCACCTTCACACCTCTGATCCAAGGAACAGGCTATTTAGGTATTTATAGGATCTGAGCACTTGGATAAAGCTGACCCAAAAGGTACATCTGTTTCTGGTACCTTCTCTCCAGTGAATAAAGTCCAGACCAGCCCACAATTGCAATGAGAACACATCAATAAGGTGTGCCAGGCATCTGTTAGAGATTCCAGAGAGAGGCTTGAACTCCTGAGTCATAAACAGGGGAGGACATTTGAATTGAGATAGAAAAGTCCCTCTCCTGGTCTTACTGAGGGCTGGGGGCTCTGTAGGGATGGCAGAGTTCAGGCTCCTCAAGAAGAGTGTTCTGAACACGTGGTTATTTAGTGGTTTAGTGCAAATTCAGCCAGAGCCTACTCTAAAACACACAAATACACTTTTCAAGACACTTGATTCTTTAATTATGCTCCAAAACGTCACACACCCCAAGAGAGGCTACCCCACTCAAACTGCCACACTCGTGAGTTGGAGCTATAGTTGGAAGCAGCAGTAGATCCCATCCTACAGGGACAACCATGCTCATGAGAAGGCAGTTCAGGGTAAGGAGGATGAACAGATGAGGTTTCTCTCAGGAACCACACTCACCATTACACAGTTCAAAGTTAACATGCAACACGTTTATTTCCCTGAATACTGAATAGGATGAAGTCATTAAAAACAAAACCCAAAACATTTTACCTTTGACTTGGATTCAGCTTTTGGTGTCCCATCTGCCTTGTTGTTCATTTTATTTGCAGGTGTTAATTTGACATCCCCCAGCCCCATCATTTCAGGACTTGCTGCCATCCCTAGGAAGTTAAAAAGCATCTTTTAAGACTGATTTTCAATCCAGTACAATGAAATCAATTCAATGCCTGCCAGCCAGCACTGGCTTACCTGCAGAGTTGTTAGCCATATTCCCCCCCATAGAATAGGGAGGGCCCTGGGGGTTTATCATTCCAGCCATGCTGTTAATTCCCTGTCCATAAGGAGGTCCAGTGCCCATCATTCCCCCTTGATTCATGTTGGGATAACCAGGAGGCCTAGAGAAAGCAAGGAATAAATAGACTTAATCCAAATACTAAGCATTAAGATCTTGTCTTCTAAGGAAAGCAGGTTTGCTAAAAGAAACCTTGAAGTGGAGGAGTGACTTTCTCAGCTCACTTTCCCAGCTAAAGACCAAAGATCAAGTGCTCTTTTCAAGCTTTGCTACCCTACAGCCTAAGCCTCATTCTCAAAAGGAGATACAAACCATCTGGAGAGCAGGACTTCAGTTCTCAACACTCTCACCCTTCATCCTGTTCTACTACACCCCCAAACTGAATTTCATTTCAGATGTTAAGTTGCCTTCACTAGGAAGAACAGATCTGCAAGTGAGAATATCTGTCTGGATGAGCAGTGCAGGCTCCAGCCACATTTAATAGTATTTCTAGATTGCCTTCCCTTTTGTCACCCCTACAAGCTACATTATTTCACATAGAAAACCTCACCCACAGGTGTTGCTCAAACTTGTTACTTGAAGGATGAGATTTTTATGCCTTTATTGTTGTTTGGGAGGTTGACCTCTTGGCAGTTACAGATAACATCAGAGAGGAGACTGCAGAAGCAGCTCTTAAGTCAGGAGGGAGAGCACAAGGCCCAGTCAGGAAACAAATGTATCTAACAGCTTTACTGGGGGAACCCAATTTATAAGCAAGTTCATGGCTCTCTGGTTGGCCACATACACCTAACTCTGAAATGTGCAATGAAAAAAAAACAAACCCAAAACAACTACAGAAAATAGCTGCAAAGTTCAGTGCTGAATTCCATCTCCCTTTCCCACAGCTGCTCATGGAGGCCCTAAAAGGAAGAAGTTCCTGACACTGGACAAGCACTGCCCTTGGTTCAGACAGATGCAGCTGGATTTATGGGCTCTACCACACATGGTGTCTCTTCAGTCCTTCGTGTAACAAAGCAGAGCAGAAAGCAAAAAACAACTGAAGGGGATCTCAGAGTGAGTCTGATTTTCACCTGTGAATGTTCAAAATTCCCTAAGCATGTCAGTCCTGATGTGTTCCAACAAACTGCTTTTCCAAGCTTTACACTCTTGCTTTTTTTAACACTTCAGACACTTCAGACATGAGGAAAAAACTCTTTAACATGAGGGTGGTGGGGCACTGGGATGGGTTGCCCAGGGAGGTGGTGAAGGCCCCATCCCTGGAGACATTCAAGGTCAGGCTTGATGGGGCAACATGATCTAATTGGAAATGTCCCTGCTTATTGTAGGGGGGTTGGACTAGGTGACCTTGAGAGGTCCCTTCCATCCCAATATGTTCTATGATTTATGATTCTACAACTGAAGAAGTCCCCAGAAGGGCAAAACCCTCCAGAAGTGGATGTTCAGCATCACCCCAACTTTGACTTATTCCATCCACAGCTTTAAAACTTCCCTCTGACATGGGAAAGGGTTCAACAGAGAACCAGGGGGGTGGGAAATCTGATTCCATACCTGGTCTGGATGGAGTTGGCAGCAGCATGCATGGCAGCAGCAGCTGCCTCTTGTGCTTTGCGGTTCATGCCAGCTGGAGGGGGACACATCCCTGTCCCCACCTGAGGTGGCATATTTGCCATGTTAGGTCCATAAGGTCGGTTGCCCATGGTTGCATGGCTCATCCTCCCTGGAGGAAGCCCACTGTATGGTGGCACACCAGTCTGCCCATGCATCTGGCTCCCTGCTCCCATGGGGTTCATGCTTCCTCCCATTCCTGGACTAGGGTAGTTGGCATTGGACATAGCATTGTAGTTTGGCTGCCTGGGATAACCTCCTAAGGAGATAAAAAAGTGTGGAAGACAACATCATTCAACTAGTATGAATCACCATAAACATCTTCTATCAGCAAATATTTAAAGATCACTAACAGAGATGAGGGGGAGTGTTAACACCTCAACAAAAAGTCAAAGTACTTGGATATAAGCCACAGAAAATATGTTTTGACACAGCCAAGTAACAACATTGATCCAAAAGCTGCCTGAAACTCTCTGAAACCTCAGCCAAGCCCAGTGAGCTAAATAGTTCAGGACAGTAAAAAAAAACCCCTCATTTAACCCTTTCCAGAACATGCAACACTCAGTTTTCTTCCCCTCCAGAGAGAACAGGCCCTTCTCTGTCACACTGGATGCATGACCTACATCTTTTTAAAGGAAGGATCCCACATTTAGAAGCACAAGTATCCCCGACAGCAAACCCACCATGAACAAAGCTCCTTCCAGCTCATGAGACTCATGCTGTTTTGCATTACCCACACATTACCAGGGGACAAATAAAACCAGTTTATCAAAGACAAGATGGTTCAGAGAGAGGCCTTTTGTCCCTGCTGAGCTCAGTTCCCACCCTGAGGTGCTGTGCCTCACCTTGAGGTCCATACTGCCCCCCCTGGGGTCCGTAGCTCCCCATGGAGTTCTGCTGGTAGGGCCCCATTCCTGCATGCATCTGTCCTCCAGAAGACTGACGTGGAGATAAGGCTGAGCCAGGCTGGGGTGAGCTGTACTGGGGCATCTGAGGGTTCCTCTGCATGTAACCTGGGCACCCAGAGAGTGGAGAAGACAATTAGTAGTGCAAAGCATCCAGAGGTGCCACTGGACACGTGTTCTTAGGTAACTGCAACTCCCAGGACCCACTAACAAAATCCTTTCAGCAACAGCCCAGGTTTTACAGGGGCTGCTATTAAGGAGCCAGTGCTACCTGCTAAGATAACAGGTCCCGTTTCCTGTGTTACCCAGAAAAGAAACCCTACAACTTGGTGTCACAGGAGTTGACAGTACAACTCTGCAAACCTTGGGGGCTTCTTGCTGCTATTTTTTGTTGGCTTGTTTGTTCCCTCAGGCTGACAACTACAAACCTTCAGCCATGAGAGCTGAAACTTTACAGACATTTTCCCTCATACCAATCTTATTCTCTTAGGGGGAAAAGGGACACAATATTGTCCTGAGCATCCCTCATTTTCAAGTTTAAGGCCAGGGGATGCCCTTGAACCAGTAACATTTACAGGAAAGTTTTTCAAAAGCCAGAAAAAACCTCTTACAAACCAAACCACTAGTTTGGATGGAACTTTAAGAAGCCAAACCATGAGCAGCAGTTGAATGTGCCACTTGCAGCTTATAAACCTGGAGCAGCTTTCAAATGTTATCTCAACAAGAGAATTCATGTCATCAAGCCAGGTAGTTTTTAAGCTCCACATCTTCTAGCTTTACAGTTCCAAGGCTTAACTGCTGCCACACACCTCGGTCTTGCGCGATGCTGGACTGGTTCATGGAAGGGTGCATGAGACTGTCCGACTGGCCGCTGGGCGGTCGGGGTGGCATCTGATTGCCTGCACCACAGAGAGGAGAGTGGTTGAGCACCAAAATGGCACACCACAAAACCCAGGCTGCACGAGGATTAAATACCAACACCACGAACAACTTGAGGAGAAAGGCACGTCAGCCACAGTGAAGAGAAACAAGAGCGAGACCAGTCGCATCAACCCAACCAAATGACACTGCTGGTTTACCAGCCAACCCACCCATCCTCTACAAGTTACAGATCTTTTAAAGCAAACAAATGAGATCACAGGACCTTGATAACCACTTGTACTGACCACAAAGCTCCTTCCCACTGGCCATTTCAATTCCCTCTCCAGCTGCACAAGGCAATCCCACCAAAAGATGGGCAGGGGCCCAGCAATGTTACCTGGTACTGCAGCAGGTGAGAGGGGACCAGAGCGGGACTGAGCAACACTAGCTGGAGATCCAACTGGGGATGGGGAGGGTCCTCTGATGCCTGGCAGGTGAGGAGAGGTATGTGGAGAGAAAGGAGACTGAGCTGGGTTACTCTGCTCTCCTTGACTGCTGGAAATCCCTGATGTGCTTACTCCAGGACTCAGGGCTCCTTCTGTACCCATGGGCAGATCATCTATGGAACCAGACAGGTCCTGCAACACAACAGAGAAAGAGATCAGGCAAAAATAAAAGAAGACATGGGGCTGTTCCCTCACACAGCACTAAGAAAGAGTGCATTTCTCCCTCAGGCACACTACAAATAGAAATCAATGAACTCTGTTCATGAAACTGTCAGCAACAGAGGCTGCTGCAGACTGAGGTAACTGCCAAATGTGTCTTCTCCTGCTGCCTGTGTCTGAAACCAAGAGCTCCAGAGCTGGTTTGCTCAGTGCTTGCTGATGGTCCAAACAACTGGCTAATTCTCCTCCTTGTTTCTTTTAATTCAGTTTTGAGGTGAAAAGTTAAAGAATGCATCAACACCACACATGAGACTGCAAACACAGGAGACAGTCTGTGTGATTCTGGCTTGGAAGAGAAACAAGGCTCAGGCTCTGAAAGACAGAAACTCCTGCCTCAACCATAATTAATTCATAAACCTCATATGAGCTGGGAAACTACTCACTGGAGATGGATAAAAACAAACTAAACAGAGATTTAAAAGAAAAAACATAAAATACTCTTCAGGGTTCCCATTTCCCTTTATTCCAATACAGCAAAAATTAGCAGTTACAGCATCAGCCTGGAAAGTTCAGCTTTTTCAGAAAACACCCTTCCCAGTGCCTGTAGCCACCCTGAAGAAGAAAAGCATGAAGAGCCAAGGAAATCCAAACCTCCAAGTGCCACAGTAGCCATGGCAAACTGACAGCACCAAAAAATCAGCTGGCAAGCCTGAAAAATGGGGCTGCTTCCAACAAGATGATGCGTTGATCCAACATGCACAATTATAGCAGCTGTTTGATAATGAGGTGCATCAGCTTGGCCTGGAATAAATGAGGCAGTAACAGCCCAAAACAGAGTAAGCATTTGAACAGAAAGGTGGGAAGTTAACACTGTTCCAGGGATTAGATAAAATCTCTGCAGAGATTCCAAGGATCTCAGCAGGTGAAGAAGTAGCAGAGCCAAGCTTACCAGGACTTCACCTACCCCTTCCCTTGTCTTTTAAAGGAATCATCTCTGGATCAGAAACGTTCTGGACTGAGCCCTGAAGGCATTTCAGAGCAGCTCCCAATGCACAGAACTCAGCTGACCAGCATAGGCAGAGCCAACCTCTTTTAAAACACTACACAGAGACAAGTGATAAACAACTTGGGACACCCTGGTCTCATTTACACAGCCTGACGGAGCCTTGTTTAGCAGCAGTTCAGGTGACATTTCTCCAGCTCTGGGCAGTGTGAAGGAACCTCAGACACAAGATACTGCAAACTTATCAGCCTCCAGAAGCAAGAGCCCTATCACTCTGCAACACCTGCCTGCCAGGTGATGTGTGAAAAGGCTCTGGCAGCACATCCCCATCAGCTCAGCTGGAGAACAGTCTCTACATCCTAGGAAGGGGAAAACTGGGGCTATGGAAGACTCCACAGAAGACTTTCAGTGCCTAAAGGGACTCCAAGAAATCTGGGGAGGGACCTGGGACAAGGGCAGGGAGGGAGAGGACAAGGGGGATGGATTAAAACTGGCAGAGGGGAGATGGAGGTTGGACATGAGGAGGAAATTCCTGGCTGTGAGGGTGGTGAGAGCCTGGCCCAGGTTGCCCAGGGAAGCTGTGGCTGCCCCATCCCTGGCAGTGTTGAAGGGCAGGTTGGATGGGGCTTGGAGCAACCTGGGCTGGTGGGAGGTGAACCTGCCCATGCAGGGGGTGGGACTGGATGATCTTTAAGGTCCTTTCCAACCCAAACCATTCCAGGATTCTATAAATAAAAAAACTACCCAGGAGATGCCCAACCACCTCATCACACTTGTTGGAGAGAGACATTCAGAAGGACAGAGTTGGGCACCAGCTGTACCTGGTTCAGTTGTCTGCTGCAGCACGGCAGTCTTGTGTATTTTAACAGTGGAATTCGACTAAAATGCTTCTAACAAGTGCTGGCAAATGCTACAATTGAGCTGAAAATGCCAGTCACTTGGTGGGATGACTGAGTGCAAAGCATGTCCTTCCTCCCCTTCCATCCCTGCTTCTGTTTGAGAGATCCCTTCCTGCACAACAGTCTGAGGTATATTTGCTTAGTGCTGAAGTATTACCTTCCTGAGGACAAAAAAAAAACACAATAAAAGCTTTGTTTTATTTCAATAAAAGCTAAAAAAACCTGCAGAAAAGGCCTAAAAATAGTGCTCAAAGAGCTCTTGCAATTTTCATTGCCTTCCTATCATAACATTAAAAGCATTGCCCCTTTATGCAGCCACTTGGCTTTTCCCTCCCTCCCCCCTGACAACTCTGACCAACTCCACATTCCTACTGCAAAAAACATCTGAACTGGGAGTAGAGAGCCAGTATTTCCAGTATTTTGCATTAAAAAGCATCAACCAACACAAACAATCAAGAGCAAAACACTCCTCTCCTTGAGACACTGCATCTAGCTCGAGCCACTGGTAAAAGAAACATCTCTAGATTCACCACAGAGTCAAAGAAGGGACCAGAATGTCCAGAAGTCAATTCAGTCCAACCTAAAATTGGACTGAAATGCTGACATTTCCTTTAAATACATTAAGATACTTAATGTTTTTAGTGTGAATCACCAAATGCATCCAAACAGTGTTTTCATCATCATCACTGAAGTGAAGTTGGAGGCCAAAACCCTTTGCAGCTTTAAAATCCCCCTCACCATGAGCTGGTGTGGGGAGGACATTGCAGAGCAGAGAGACTAACCCTAAAGCTATTTACAGAATTTTAGGCTTGAAAGGAAGAAGTGTAGACCTGAGACAAAAAACTGGCATGGAAGGACAGACACAGACTAAGTGTGTAAGGAGAAATGTAAAGTTTCCTTCCATTAGCAGGAGTCTAAGTGACATGGTTCTTCAAGAAGCAAAAGAGAAGGTTTTCCTCCAGGATGTGAGGAGGTCCCTGTCTGCTTCATGAGCAACAGTCACACATGAACTGGGCAGACTGGGAGGATATGACTTGGTAATGCCAGGCAGGAAAAGATCTGCAAGACAGAAAATGAAGCAACACTGAAAACTGTTTGAAAGTTAACTCCTAAGGAACTGGACCACAATCTCTAAGGCTGATGCCTTTCACTCTGCCTAGGCATCAAAGCTCAGCCTAAGTACTGCAAGTCATTTAAAAACATTAATTAAGCAGTTTAATAGAGGGCTGCTTTAGCCACGGGAGCAAGGCCCCTCTGCATTGCTAGCACACCACTCCAGAGCTCACAGGGGAAACAGAGGCCTTCCAGCTACAAGGCTGGGGATCACACTCTCAGATCAGTTTAAAGTTAAAAGTCAATGACACATCAACCTTTTCTGGGATGGTAGGACATGGAGTTGAAACAGGACCATCAAAATCATGTCACTCCTAGAGCAACTTTCACCTCTAAAGATCTGCAAGTTTAAGGAATTGCAACAATCAAGTCATTTCCCAGCAAAGAAACAGGTTGAAAGCACAGCCCCATTTTCTGAGTGTGTTACTCAGCAGGACTAAGCATCTCAGAAATGTGGCTCCTGCAAGGGGAAGGCAAGAAGCAGGGACTGGAGTGCCCAAGTGCAGGCAGCTAACCAGTAAGGAGCTGGTTTCCCACCTATCAAGTTGTTTTATCAGGGTACCAATGCATCTCAGAAATGTGGCTCCTGCAAGGGGAACCAACCATCAAAGCACAGAGTGGGGTTTGGTTTTTTTTACCCAAACCTAAAGGACATCCTCACGTTTACTCAAGTGCACCACAAACCAGGGGAAAAGGAAATCTCCCCATCTCTCTTTGTTTTAAGGAGCAGAGAAGGCTTTTTAAAAATAAGAAAACCTCACTGAAATAATAGAGAGCTGCTGCTGTCAGTGGGTTCTGGATGAAGCCCAAGAGGAGAGGGCCAGGGAGGTTTTATTTGCCTCCTGCAGAGCACCAGGAGGAGACCTGGAAAGAGGCAGCAGCTCCAGGAGAAGGGCTGTCCTCTTCCCTCCTCCCACGAGCAGAGCCAATGGAGCTGAGACAGGAGGTGAGGCTCGACAGCAGTAACTGCCAGCTTGAAGGAAACGTCAGGGTCTGGAGAATTTCCTCACGTGTTTCCAATGTGGTGGGTTGTTGTTGGTTTTTTGTTTTTTTTTAATGCATTTTATTGCTCATCTGCCATGCAGATCAAAAACGCTGGAGGGATTCCAACTATTTCACACAGAATCTCACACTCCAGGCTGGCTGCAGCCCCAAAGCCTGAGTTTCTTCACTTGAAATACTGCCCAGTGTTATTTTGGGATGTGACCTGATAGCGGAAGCCCACGGGGACCCTGCCACGATAACTGTTCCAGCTGTGATTGGCTGCCCAGTGCCAGCACGGGGCTGTCAGGACTGCTGACAAACCAGGACTCAGCAGCTCACACCTCCTTTTCACACCACAACAAAACCATGCCTGAAATCACACAATCTGGTACCCAAAGGAGGGGGCAGGGGAGTTCATGTCTCTCAGGGAAAGGGTTACAAGTCCTGGCATGACCAACAGAAGGGAGCTGGTTGGTTGATGTTGGAAACAGCAAGGTCTCTTTTACATGAAAAGAGGAACAACCGTTTCACTATCTGATACAACCTCATTTGTTAAACAAACATAAAGATGAAACAAGAAGAAATACTTCAGATCAAGGTAAGAAAATCTCAGCGGAGAAGAGATTCAAGGCTCTGCTCTGGCCCATCCCACTGATCTGGAAGAGCAGGAAGACTGACCAGAAAGCAGCAAATTGATCTGCCAGCTGGGACCTGCTGCTCCTTCCTCTCCTGCTCCCCTGCCCATCCCAGCCCAAGTGCATATGGAAAGTGTGGGGGAAGAGGGAAGGAGCACAGCCAGGCTGCAGTGATTGTAGGCACTGTCAGATCACTAGATAGCACTCAAGGAAATTATGATTGCACGTGGTAGAGCTTATAAATTCTGTAAGGCCAGTTGTTTCCACAAAGATGCTGACCAGCAAGATTGGAGAACAATGGCTAAATTTATTCCCTGATTCCTTCTGAAAGGGAAAAAG